ACTTTTATTTAAGCCATTCCGAATATTATTCCTTAGAAAGCTAATCTGTGTAAAAACACACCCATTTTTGGAAGTTTTTCTATACTTCAGCATTTATTGCACTATTTATTATAAATATTCATTCATATGCTCATAATAAGCATAATGATCATAATAACACGAATATGAACTGACCACGCGGACGAGAATGCAATCATTAAAATCTTGATAGAAATTCAAACATGTGTAGTATTTGGGTGGGAGAAAAGAATACTGAATTTCGGATTTTAATACCGTTTCGCAATTCTTTTGACCAATAGAACACGTGTACCTGTCTGTACTTCGCGTGCACCATAGGTTACATTAATGCAGAGAAAGAGGGGGAAAGCAATTTTTGGAAGTTTACCATCTGATGTTGCATATAAGGAAGAAAGTTTTTATTTAGTTTCGCTTTGGTACGGGTAAAAATGCGCGTTCATTAAAAAAAGCACTAAAAGCAAAAAATAACACCAAAAACAAAAAATAAGAGCTTTTTAAAGAAAAAGTAAGCACCTATAAGGGCCTTTATATTTTATTTTCAAATATAAGGACTTATAAGCACTTGTAAGGACCGCTACGAACCCTGTCTTTGCCTACGGTATTTATTTCACGACTCTGTGTGCTGAATGTGTGGACATTTTTCTGAGTAAAAATTACGAATTGAGTAACTCTGTAAAAATAAAATATAAACTGAACAATTTTCGTCAACTTTTCTGTCACGAAAATGGCATTTGCAACTTCAAATTTTATTAAACAATTAATTTAAACCGAATTCACAGTACAACTATTGCTTCAGATATGTTCAGGAAAATTATACAACCCATGGATTGTGCATGTACATCACATTTTAGGATCTGATGCGACAAATTTTTCAGAAAATAAATTCAGTATTTATAAGCAGACTTTGTACACATTTTTGAACATGGAAATTAAGTACTTTTAAGGACCATGAATAAAAAAATCAAGGACCTACCAGCAAATAGGAACTGAATAAACTAAAGCCATTATCTATGGACTTTGGCTGAACTAAAGTGAATTACTTTTGTAATTCACTTTAATGGTTTGTAAGAATAAAATTAATCTATAAGTAGGATGCATTATTATCAAACATAATCTAACATTTAACTTAATTATAAAACAAATTCAAGAACAAAATCAGCTTCATAAATTTTTTTTCCAGGTATTTAGCTTTAAATTATAAGATTTCTTGAAACACTTATAACAGTCCCACATATTTTAAAGAAAATTAGTGATATTTTATTTTAATTTTACTAGCAGTTAGCTTTATGTTGATTCTTTCCTTTACATTTTATCATGTATTTTCTCAGTCCAAAGATTCATACAGATTTAACTGTGACTCAGTTAGGGTCACAGCTTCATGTAGATATGATGGAGTTGTAACCAGTTAATATACAGTATTTAATATAAAGTTCCAATAAGCCATTGAAGCACCAGAGGTGAAAGATTGTTATATTTTAAGTCTCATGAGCTGTAAGGAATAAAATTTATGTTAATTTATATATTTTTGTGTTGCAAGATTGTTATATTTTAAGTCTCATGAGCTGTAAGGAATATAATTTATGTTAATTTATATATTTTTGTGTTGCATCTTTCATCTACAATAAGGATTGAGGAAAGGTGGTAAGCTCACCTTAAAACATGTAGAGATAACTTCTAAAGATGATCAGTTATTTAAAAATAATTAAATATCCTTTGTCATAACACATTTACATGGTTACAATTATAATTTTTTTTACTTCTAAAAAATCTCAATTAAGAAAACAATATGAATATTTTACAGCAGTTATAATTTATGATAATTATTCTAAACTGATATTAGTCTAATTACACATTAACATTTATATTTTGTAGCAACTACTAACAACATTTATGTGTCTTTTTAATTTGAAAATTTTACCAATATTTTAGCTAATTTACATCAGTTTCCTTCTCATTAGCATCTTTTAACCCCTTAACTGCTGCGGGTGCATATATATGCCCTTCCAAAATATTATCATTTGCTTTGCGCTGCTACCTGTAAAATTATTTGCGAAGCTTTGGAATGCAACACCACAATGACCTTGACAAAGTATGCGAAGGAAGATACTATTTCAAAGAAGTGTGGGAAGAAATTAGAGAAAGGGATTTCTAAAAGGGAAAGATGACTGTCGGTTGGCTGTGTTTTTTGAGTAAAATGTATTTTTTAATTCTGTGTCCTCGTTTCGTTTTTTTGTAGTAGGTTCCAGGAATAAAGAAAGATATAACGGATGTTTCAAACCATTTTCTTTCTTAATTATTTTTTATGAACTTCTGCTTCATTGTTACTGAAACTCCATTTGTAGACAAGTAAAACCAACCTTGCAAACGAAAATCAAGAAAAATTGTGGCATTCAACATTCAGAAGAAATATATGTCTTTAGGAATACTGATTTCACAAGGTAACCTGAACCTCTATTACACTTTACTGTCTAAAAGTGAATTGAAACTCCAATTTAGGGATCTTTTTTATTATAAAAACATCATTTTTATTATGCTTGCTTCGTTTTATTATGCTTTTACTCACAACATTAAATTTTGTGCATTCATTTTTTTTTATTCTTTATTTTGTGAAAGTAAACAGTTTTTAGAAAATAAAAAAACTTACACTTATTTTCCCCCTAATACTTCACATAACTATGCACGCCTGTGTGAAAAACTGTGGCACTGGGAAATGAATCTTGTACGTTTTCCGTGGCAGTTAAGGTTTTTTTTTTTTTTTTTTTTCAAAAAACAAATCAACACTCCTGTTAGTCTCTCCTCATTCCCTAGTTTGTTAATGTTTCAACAATATACCTTTGGAGAATAATTTTATCTTTCTTACAAAATCAATTTCTGCTTCAATGAGTTTGAGTTCATTTTAGAGTTTTCAGATTTAATTAAAGATTTCTGTTATTCTAAAGAACATTCTGTTATTCTGTTCTTGAGTCTAGTTGAAAGATAAGAAAATAAAGGGAAGATAAACATGTTAAGAAAAAGACATCTGGGATCAAAGGGAGAAAATTCAAATGATTTTGTTCTCACTGTTCTAAAAATTTTCCTAAAAATAAGAAATTCATTAACAAATTTTCAATAAAACACGTCCATTATGTGTTAATACCATGATGATGATGACATTTTTCATTTCGACACATTTTTCTGGAGTTGCAGGTCTATATTTCTTGCCTTCGAATCCTTTTGAGGTGCAAAGTCTGAAATCCGAAAGAAAAACTATCCTTACCAACTTTGTACGATCAAAATACCAGAAGATTGAAAAAAATTCAGAAAAGAAAAACGTAAAATGACTTTTTAAGAGAAAGCACATACCCATTTAAATATTCTGAAATAATTACACTGGAAAAAACTCTTATCATGAAAAAATATAAACAAGAAAATTCATTTTAAAATAATTTACAGTACCTTTTTCTTATATTTTCAAGTGTTTAAGGACTGTGCTCACTATTTTGCTCATTTTTCAAAATGAAAACATTTCCAAGCCACAGAAATATGAAAAAAATAGGAACAACTGAATAAATAGGAACACTGACAGGAGAAAAAAAGCACTGTGTAATTAGACTAATATAAGTTTATTGGATTTCGTAAAAATAATAGGAACACTGACAGGAGGAAAAACCTTTTATTTTAATTTTATTTCTTAATAGTATTTATATATTATCATTATTTTCATGATATTTATCAATGTTATTTTGTTTGTTACAAAAAAACCATAAAAAATTTCACAGATCTCCAAATAAAAAATTTTCTATACAAACTGATCTTGAAATTGCCAACTTGTTGATAAGTCACCAAATTTAGCACCGCATAACTAAAGAACTCGTATTTCAAAAAGTTTTTTTTCTCCTTTAAATGCAGCATGTGAACTCTTCATTCGTAAAAAAGAACTAATTTCGAAACATTTATATTTTAACCAAGGTAGGGCCTGGTGCCTATAACTGGAGTATCTACCGTTTTTACTAGCAGGACAGAATTCAAACATAGCAGTAAAGAACTCAAATGTTCACTCATCAAATACACTGTCAATGCACTGCCAAAAAATATTCCTCCACAGTGTTTAATTGCACTCATAATGGTTCGTTTAATAAAACTAAGAGATTTTAAGTACTTTCAAAGACTGTATGAACCCTGTATAAAGCAGTACAATTATCTGCGAGCCATATGACCCGTCATGATAAATAATAGTAGACTACATGACTTTTACCAGAATAAAAAGATGAATGCTGTTAAACTTGATTGTATATATTATTGTTCATGGAAAAAAAATCATAAATTCAAGAGAGGGTAAAAGTGATAACAATATATGAAAATTTTGCAATCAAAAGTTTACAAACAGCAGTAGTACGTTTAATGTCAATAATGTCTGATTAAACAAAATTAAAATAAAATGCACCCAATGACTCAGCTGAAAGTGACAAAGATACTGAAATACAAGATTCTCCATACAAGTTGAAAAGTCATTTCGCAAACCGTGGTTTTTAGGTACATGGAAGCGGTACTTTTAAGAATTAAATTTCCGAAAGCAAATATCATAATGGAACTATTAAAAATGCGCGAGACTATAATTTATATTAAATCTATTATAACATATTATAAAATGCAAATGCAGATATTTATAGAAAACTTGTTAAATATTTTTATGTATTATTTCTTAAGACCATATATGCCCATCAGCAGACGAGTGGTAAAGTAACTGAACATTGGTAAATTGGTCCGAGGTTCGAATCCCGCGACTGGGCAGGCTGCAAGGGCATTTTCTGATTTTCCCTATGCATAACATGTATACGAGCCAGTTTCCCTTAGAAAGCCCTTCACAAAGCCATCCCTCCCCAGATAGCCCTCAAGGCTTTGATGTAATCAAATAAACCAAATCAAACTTAGGACCATACATTTGGATACCTAAATGTAACTCATGTCAATGTATGAAATTTTAACTATTTCTGGATACATACCAAGAGCTTCTTCAAATGCAAACACAAACCGATTTCCTTCTTCTTGCATCCAGTCATAGGCTTTATTGGCCATCCATTTGAAACCAGTTAAAGTTTCCTAACCAAGAAGTAATAAGAGTGTAAATGCAGGTGATTAAATATTAAAAATTTTTTAAGAGCAAAATATGTAAAATGCGAAGCAAGGATATATACACAAAACTAGAGGCAGGAATTTCAAGAAATTAGATAGAAAAACTGAAAAAAATTTTAATAAAAATACCATTGAGCACAAAGTTTTTTTCTTCAAGAGTTACAAATACAGGCATGAATTTAAATGATGTATGCCATGTAGAAAATTTTAATCAAAATGTATCAGAATTATTAAAAAAATGTCAAAAATAAAAATTACTCTTTAAATTTTCCTTTCAGTAATTACTATTTAATCAAAGAGCGTGACTGAAAAATATTTTTTACTAAGTGTTACTAGAATTTTAATAAATTGAATAGACAGAAACGGAATGAGCTGTTAGTTATTAATTACCACTCAAAAATTATTTCCTTGAGAAGCAATTTAAAATTTGCATATAATGAAGCATTTCCTTATGCTACATTTATTCATTACCCTATATTTGCCTCGGTTGATTGATTAAAAATGATAAGTTAAAAAAAAAATTACCTTTATGTTTAGAACCAAAGCATTTTTCTGTACATCAATGAGAATGTATATACTGAAATTCAAACAGCTGTGTTGAATTAGTTATAATTGAATAAAAAGGGTAGGCCCTTTCCAATCTCTTCTTTAGTTACAGCTATCACAGTGTTTCAAGTTATCCCTCTTGCAGAATATCAAAGCTCACTTTTTGCATAAAATGTCAAGGAACTTACATTACACATAACTTGTGAACATAATTTCAAGTAATTTTGTTTTAGGAAAGTAGCTTCAACTCAAAACAAATGATTTTTACATGTAATATATATTGCATAAGATATGTTTCTTTTGTTACTTTACTTTTTGCAGTAAATAAAGAAGTTGTCTGCAAGATACAATTTAAAGTAAGATATATTTCAGCTAACATGCCATAAATTACGTCGAGAATTAACACTGAGTGTTTGTTGCTAAAACAACTGCTGCTCTCTCTTCTCATGATTAAGAATTAAGGAAAGAGAGAAAACCTGAAAATTATTTGAAGCAGTTTCTGATACCCATGATGAAATGCTAATTCAGAATTTCCTACAAAATAAACGACAGGTTTTTTTTAAAAAAAAATTTTTACAGCTTCTGGAGAAAATAAGAATAATGATAGAGCTGAAAGTGATGAATCTGAAATTGAAAATGATTATCGATGAATCCTTTTAAATATCTTTATATGCTACAGTCCACCCAAGTTGAAAAATTGCTGTGATACTTTTGCACATGGGCAGGAAAATTAAAAATAAAAGAACTGAATATTTTTAAAATGGTTAGGTTAGGTCAGTTCCATGCTCTGGCATATATTTTTTTTTAAAGCCTGACATGATCTTCTTAAGATACAAAAACCAATTGGTTTTAAAATAATAATCATCACAAAAAATCAGTGATGAAACACTGATGATAAATTTAAGAGGCATGTTATGTTAGAAACAAAATACTGACTATAGAACAAAGTATGATTATACTAAAACAATTGATGACTTTATTAAATAGCTTAAAATACAAAAAAGGGGAAAAAACTCACAGCGTAAAAATACATACATGATAGATTAAACTGAAAGTTATATATTTTATCAGAAATATTCATCATTCTTGAAAATTTAAGACTATTACAAAAGGATTTTATCAAGTTACAAAAATAAAATAGAATCATGAAAGAATAATGATAAGCTAAAATATTAAAAGCTAAAAGCAAATGAAAAATATATAAGGATTTGAACTCAACTAAAATGTAGTAGGAAAACTATGAACACAAGATAAAAAGAACTTTTCCTCCAAGATAAATTAAGAGGAAAATGATTACTGTCTAAGAGACTTTGAAAATGGTCAATAAAGTAATAACCATTTTTATACCAGGAGCAGAATTTTAGAACAGTCCTTTTATTGTTATTCAACAATTTACATATTTTCATCGAAATTTGCTTGATTCATTTAAAATTTCAATGATATATACGAATAAAAGCAGATAGTTATCTGGGTCATTTACTGATCAACATTTTAAAATTTTACATAGTGAATTAATTGTTCAGATAACAGGGATTTAAATCATTTTACTGTATTTCAATATGAAACAAAAACTGCAATAAACCATAGAAAAAAAAAGTTCCTTAGGCATTGATATAAGGGTTAACAAAGCATCAGCATATAATTGTTCAGCTCTATGAAAACAAGATTGATTACTGAACACAATAAAAAAGGTCCACTAAATTAAATTAAAAGGAAAAGGTCTGAAGTTAGCATCAAGAACGTTTGTAATGTAACTTCTACACAAGTATTACAAAAACACTTAGGGAATTTTTAGACTTTCTCTAATGAAGTTCCTAATATAATGGCCTGAAAAGAGATAGCACTGAGTACTTTTTACAGTGGCTACAATGTATTAATTTGCTTATGATGCAAACATCTGCTTGTTGATTTGCAGTAAATTACGTAGAGGATTTAAAGCTTCAAAATTTAACTAAAATACTTTTCTGAATACTGAAACACATTTATAACATTAAAATTTTTATATAAATTGTTCATAAACAACTTCGAAATTAAATGCAAATAAAACTATTTATTACTTTTACACAAACACATTACCTGAATATTTTTTTATCACATTTCAATAACAACCTAATTAATGTTCCAAAATTTCTAAAAGAAATTTTTAAAAACCAATACTTTTATCGCTGAAATCACCCTCAGTCTGGATGCCAAGTTTTTAATCATTTTCAACACAAAAATTTAAAATAATTTAACTATACTGCTAACATATGATAGAAGACAAACCCAAGAACTTACATAATAAAAATTTTTAATTTACTATTTTATGACTGGTATTAATAATCTTTTTAAAGAGAAATAAATCTCTAGGCCATTGTGTTGTTTTCTTTGAGACTTTTGTTTACCTGTGGTTGGTTGAGATGGATTTAATTATTTAAATCAGGCCAAGCACACAAGGTTATTGCCTATGCTCTATTCAAATTTTGACCAACAAAGCCCCAGATCTTTTACCGTTTTCTCTGATAAGTCCAAATAGATTTCTTTGCATTCTTGAGCAAATGTTGGCATTTTGTTTAATGAGATCTGATATGATACTTTCGGGTGTCTTTTGAGGGGAGGGAACTTAGAACAATGAGGAACATTCATTTCAGACACAATATTTAGCATATTCAACTAATAAGGCTACAGGAATAAATTTTCCCCCATCGACAGGATAACAGAGTGATTCAAAAGTCCCGCAAATCAAACTTCCAAAAATTGTAGACACTATAAAATGGATAACAGCAACTCATTCCAATGGATAACACCTATATACAAGTAATATATCACTTAAAATTTCAGTTACAGTATGTGCTGTTAGTTTGAAAAACTTTTTTTTTTTTTATTTTCATTTCTTTTTTCATCCTTTTTCTTTTTGATGAAAGATAGGGATGCGTTTTTCTCTAGCAGAATCAAATTTTATGATTGACCTTCACTTCACAAAACATTCTCACAGGAAAGTTGTTGAAGTATTTAATAATACTTCCAGGAAAGACCTGGCTATTTATTGCTTATTCACAGATGGCTGTTTTATAACAATCTTTAAAGCACTCATCAGATAAAATCGTCCTATACTCTGTCCTCACTGGCAGCAAAAGTCCATATGAACATGCATTCTCTACTGGCAAAAATCGCCATTAACTAAAACTAACTAAAATTAAATCAGGAACAATTGATTCACTATACCAATCATAGAGGTGCCCATGAAAATGGCTAAGTCTAATACCAACTAGCAGTGACAAGATCTTAACAATGCCGCTGGACCTTCCCAAATTTTATGAACCTAACAAGACAATGTTTTTCCACTTAGTAACCTGATTTTGATACACTGATAAAGTTCAGCATCAGAAATGAAGTGGTTACCTGTCTCTTTTGAGTAAATAAAATGGATGAAATTAAGAATATCATAATTACCAACAGAGCTTGAAAATGACATCACAATCAAATTTATGTGTTGTAAAGCAATGCAACAGCGACTGAAATTTCAAGTGAAATACACTGAAAAGAGACTGAATCAGGGATACCTTCTAGTAACATCACCTTTCGCCTTGAAGATGGCTGTGATTTGTCTTTGCATGGACTCGAAAAGACACTAGATGGCATGGTAAGCCATATGTATCTATGACTCCTGGACAATCTCCCACGATACACAAAGATTAGATAGAAGATAGAGCTTTGAACATGTCTTTAAGTTGCAACACAGTTGTGCTCTATTGGATTCAGGTAAGGATTCCAGAAAAGAATGTGCAAATCAGTGGAATATTCATCCAACCATTCTGATACAATTTGGGAGTAATGGTATGGTGTATTGTCTTGTTGAAAGATAATCTCTCTAGTGGGTTGTTGAAAACAAGCATATGGGAGCACATCGTCGTCAAAGAAATCCCAGTAATATTCATCTGTGAGAGATGATGTCACACATACCAGGAGTTCCATTTCAGTCCATGTGAACACTCCCCAGAAAAGAATATTACCTCCACCAAAATGAAGAATTCCCTGCTGGCAGGAAGGATCCATCACTACATGTGGTTTATGCTGTGCACGTGGTGTGTGGTGGTGTATTTAATTATGGCAAGGCACACTAGGGCTATCTGCCTAAGGGGAGGGATGCCTTCGTGGAGGACTTTCTAAGCTGTGCACATACTCTGCCAGCGGCATGTAACTAAGTGAATCTCAACGGTCCATTGGTGATGTTCCCATGACCATGCTAATCATAGCATTATGTTTTGTGTAGTCAGCACAGGGATTCTTGCAGGATGATGATTCCTGTACCCCATTGAGAGGATACAGTTTTGTATGGTGTGACAGATTACACATTGTCGCATACCAGCATTAAGTTCATGGATGATCCATCGCACAGCCCATTAATCCGCTGCTACAATGTGGGCTAGCCACAGACGATT